TGGTGTCATCGTCATCGTCGTCGTCACAACGAGTGTCTATTACAATAGAAGGTATCATATTATTAAGAACAATCTATATAGCGCTATTTAAACATTTTCAAAAGCGCTCACAATTCTAAATAAACAAATTTTTGTACGTGATATGATATCAGTTTTGTAATTATAAATTTTTGCTTGCAAATTAAACTTGAGACTATATTATCATGTAGTCGGTTATGTTGGCTTTACCGATTAATTCAGTTACGTCGGTTAAGTCGATTATTCTAGTTGTGTTGGATATTTTATAGTAGAAATCACTTGCACTCTTCAGATGATTGTTGTTACAATTATTATTTTTAAAATTGTCAATTAACATTGTTATTTTTCCATTTTGTTCTGGAGTTATTATTGATCGTTTAACTGTTCATTTTGACGTTGTTCTAACAATATATTGTTCCTGTCACTCAAACCCTCCTTTCATTTCTTCCCGCGTGAAGTCGCCTAAGATAGAGAAATAATAACCAAAATTAAATTTATCACAATATAGCTTTAATTATAATTATCACAGATCATTTTTTAAGTGCCGATCAAATAGAATAACAAATCTTATAATTCGACTAATGTTAGAATGAATATGGTCTAGCTTTAGCTTGGTCTAGAATGTTTAGCATTCTGGCACAGGCACGTTGCATGTCTTGGAGTAAATTAAATGATTTGTTGGGTCCGTTGCAGCCAATTTGGTCTTCTAGATGGTGTGAGAGTTGAATTCATTGGCTCCTTAATGTTTAAATGTAAACGTCTTAGCTAATATTGAGTCCGTGTCTTTGTCGTGAAATGGATATGAACATTTAAAAAACTTTTGGCTACTCGTGCTAGCTCCTAGTTTTTTTTTAAATTTTGAATAAGATGTATAAAATTTCCATCATATTTCACCTTTGAACTTTGAGCCACCGTTTGAAAGATTGACTGATTTTTGTTCATTGGTTCCACCATGTTGCTGCCAGCCAGTGGTACCTAATGGAGTTCTTAAGTGCCGATCAAATAGAATAACAAATCTTATAATTCGACTAATGTTAGAATGAATATGGTCTAGCTTTAGCTTGGTCTAGAATGTTTAGCATTCTGGCACAGGCACGTTGCATGTCTTGGAGTAAATTAAATGATTTGTTGGGTCCGTTGCAGCCAATTTGGTCTTCTAGATGGTTACATTTTGACAACGCGTTTGGGCACGGTTTTTTTCTCAATAAGGAAATTCCGCTGCTGTCGTAAATACTATCTGTATTTATGTGGAAGAAATTTGGATGTATAGTGAAGAATAATTAAGAAAATATTTAATGGACTTTACACGGCTGCTGTGAACTATATATTATATTGCGTTGGTTTTCGTTTTTTTCAATAAATATTTGGAAGCATTTACTTATTGACTAGTAGTAAAGTCTTGGTTGGAATTTTGAAGGAGTTGATCACATTTAATAATTAAATATTTTAACAGAATGAACAACTTATTCAAATGCCTAAAAATTAATTTTGTCTTTTTTATCTGATCATTCTAGAAAAGATGACGCTAAGCTAATCAGATCAACTAAATTTGTTTCAATTATATTAATAAACAACATTTTATGATGTTATTTTCTGTAAGTTATTTATTGATTAATGGAGTTTGTCTGACAAACTAAATTTAACTTATTTATTGGTTAAACCTCTTTTTTGATTGTTTGAGGGATTCATGTGGGATGCGCTTTATTTAAAAAAATTTTCATAAAAATAGATGAATATGTAGAAAACTAACTGCTTTATTTGCAGTTAATAAAAAAAAAACATTGAACCAATTGTTATATATTTTTAATAACTGAACAAATCTAGAGGTTAGATGTTTAAATAGTATTATTTCAATTTCTGGCAACTTTGCGTAGGTCATATTACAACTTATTGCTTCAGTGTGATATCTGCATAGGTTTGTTAAAAACCTTATTTGTATAATACTTTGGATATATGGTTAAGGGTATAAATTAAAACATTTAAATTAGACGCGTGAACAGAGAGATGTTTCAAATGAAAGTGTTTGTGAGATTTGAAAAAAAGTAAAACAATCCGTGCGTGGAACACATACAAAGTTTAATAAAATACTGTCGGACCTCCTTATAACGAACTTCTTTACAACGAAAATCTCTATGCAACGAATTTTTTTTATGTTCCTTGAAATTTTCTATACAATAATACAATAATTTTTTTATAACGAGCCAAATTTATTAAAGTTAAAAAAATATCCGACTAGCAAACATTCTATGAATTGATATGAGCTGTGTTTTTGTACTCCTTTAATTTTCTGGAACCATATTTACTGTTTATGGCTCTAGTATTCTAGTAATTTTTGAGAGTTCTACCTCGATTAAATTCATCGGAATCTGAATCATCGTTGCATGTGACAAAGAGTAAATGTCACTTCTAAAACTTTAATTTTTACAATCACACCATGTATACTTCCTTTCTGTTGTCTAAATAAATGATTAGGAAGTTGTTTTTCGTAATTATAGCGTATAAACACCTTTTAGGCAATATAGAATTTTTTCCCAAACAAATTCTATATAACGAAATTCTATATAACGAAATTTTTGAAGAACGAGTTTTTCTCCGGAACCATCAAATTCGTTTTACGGAGTTCCGACTGTAATTCTGCTTCTATGTCATCTTTGAATGTACATCAGCCAGTGCGTTATTGATAAGCTTCCAGTTACTTAGGAAGTGACCGTAACGAGATTTGGTCTCATGAAAAATAATTTTATAACCGCTATTTAGAAGAATTTGTGAAGAAACAAACATAAGAAGGCGTGGTGGTGTAGTGGTGAGTGCCTGGCACCTGCTATAGCAGTGACCGAACTCGATTGCAAAGATATCCCGTCCTACCACAAGCAATGTGTGTGATGCGTAATGCGTTGTTTCACGTGTATTTACATGTACCGTACGTTTTTTGTTGACGTCATTGAAAAATATCGAAAGAGAATTGCAATTAATAATTAATTGTTTTTCACGTTAATACCTTTGAAATATGTGCAATAAAGTGTAATCAAAACTCGAACTCTTCGAAACTGTTATTCAAAGTGATTTATTCATCAATTATTCACTTCACAACTGCCAAACTGCCTTGCTGAATAAAGAATGACTGTGCTGCTTTATTTTAATTTGATGTAATGAAGCTTTAAAACTAATTATCAGTGCATAATCTCAATTTTTCATGAATTTTGGAACGTGACTGGAGAGTCCAAAATCACGAAATTGGTTTTGTGTCAAATTAATTTCAAGATCAATATTAACATTTAATTCTTGTTTATGCCTAATTTTAAAATAATAAATTCAGTCTAGGAACTATGTATCAATGTATCAATAATGGATTTCGATAGTTAAATAGAACGTACGTAATATACCCTTTAAAAGCACATATGCTAATTACCCCTTAGCAAAAAATATACAAAAAACACATTAGCGGCATATATGCTAATTACCCCTGAGCGCAATATGCTAGCTTTCGTGCGATAGGCTTTTTATAACGCAAAGGCCCATAAAATTCTATAATTTATTGAAATTTTAACGAGTTGAAACAGTTTTCATTCAAAATATATATAATTAAATTTTTCATTATGGAAAAGGTCAGCCCCAAAACCCATTTTCCATTTGATAAAATTGGTAAAAGTAGTTACGTTTAAGTTAATCCCTAGCTCTCTGAAAAAATTACATTTTTTTTAATTTTTGCTGCTTATATTTCATCTGTCAATTTAGTAAAAAAAAAGAGAAACTTTTCATTCCTATTCAGCTTGTCTTCGCGATTTTCCATGCAACCATGCCACTTTACAACGTGATTTTCAAGTATTATTCTCATTATTTTCTGGTATTATATTCTCTTCATTTTCATTCATTATGAAGTTGGTGCATAGGCAATGTCGGTTTCCTACCGTCCTATTTAAAACGCGATTACTTTGCTTCTGTTGTAGATTTTTACTAATCGAAATAAGGATCATTGCAATGTACGCTCATCAGCCAGCGAGCTCCAAGTTCATTGATAGAAGTAGCATAATAATTAGCAAGTCAGGAGGGACGAACTGTAAAAAGACCTTTTTTTTATGTCGGTTTTGAAGCATTATTTCCATAAAAATTAAAAAAAGTTGTCGAGGTGTTTGAATAGTGTTTGATGGTAATTTGTTTGTGAGAGGTTGAAAAGTAAATTTGGAAAAGCAAAATTTTGAAACCTAGCGCCTTCAGAATGTTTACCTTCTGTTGTGCTACGCGTAGTCTGGCGTTATCGTAGAGAATGATAGAACTGTTGACTTAACTTTTGATGCATCTTACCAATTTGATAAATTTATCCGGCTGCAGGCGGGCAAACAGTCTCTATTAGCTTTCTCTGGCACAACTTTGGTTTTTGGTCATCATCATCAATATCGCAAGGTCGTGCGGAACCTTCTTCATTCCCGTGGCTCATTTTGATTCTTTTGATTTTTATATATTTTATTGTATTTTACTTTTTTTAAATTGTTGATGTGTAATTTTGGAATTTTTTGTTTGAGACATGAGAACTAGAGTTTTTGCATTTGTTAATTCCTTCACTTCATGCTATGCTACGTTGTTACATGCATCTGATGATTTATAACTTTATAAAAGAGTGCTTAAACTTTCACAAACACTGACAGATCATCGAGAAGCAGAAACAGACTTATAAAAATGGTTTCACTTTTTTTTATTATTATTCATTATTAATTTGTTACTAAGTTATATTTTTTTTCAAATTCATAATAAATTAAAAAAAATCAAATTCATTTAATAAATTATTTCCATTGAACAGCCTCCAACGAGTAAATTGAATTTGAACCAAGTAAGATCATTAAATATTTGAATTATTATTTCACTAATTATTCGATTTGCTGTTTTAATATTTATTTTTGTTTTCTTAATAATTTCAATACACTTTTTCATCTTATTATAAGTTGATTTTAAAAAATCGTCTACAACCTCCACGATATGAGAGCCAGTGGCCTATCTGGAGAACTTTGACGATGGGGGCCAACCAAAGTTTTGACTTTGGGACAAAAAACTAGTGCGGCAAAAATTATGCTGGCTTATCACGCCAATTTTAGGTCTGATTTTTACATAAAATGGTAAATTTTTGTTTAAAAAACAAAGTTTCACTGACTTAAAAATCCTGCCCACAACGGCAATGGCTCCCTCTGTTTCCGAATAATGTGAAACAACTTTTTCCTTTAGAACAAACTAACAAGGAAATGTAAATTAATCAACATAACTATAAAATATTTGCAATTTCAACAATAAAAATTTAGCTTAAATCTAATAAATGAATAAAACGATTGTTTTATTTTCACTTTTTAAGCGTAAATTTTTAAAATTAAATTTCAATCGTTCATTCTCAGGGAATGTACAAGGACAAAAGTTACGATGGTTACGTTGGTGATGACGACGATTATGATGAAGTTTCCATTCGGAATGTCTGTTCGAACTCAACAAGTGAGGTAGACGAACATGCAAACGCAATGATGAGGGAGAGAGGTGATGGAAATAAGGATGTCAAGCTGGAGGAGAAGGAAGATGTTAACGGTGATGTAAGCGGGTTAAGTAATCGAACGGATGTAACATCAAATGGATCCTTCTCATCATCATCATCACCAACACCAACAACACCATCATCATCACCAACACCAACAACATCATCATCATCACCAACACCAACAACATCATCATCATCACCAACACCAACAACATCATCATCATCACCAACACCAACAACATCATCACCAACACCAACAACATCATCATCATTATCAACATTCTCATCAGCGGTAACATCGTTGTCAATGTCACACCAATCCACATACCACAACGCAAACGTTGTCGCATCTAACAGTAGTGAGGAACTGCACAGCGAACAGTACAGGACCGTTTTCAGCCAATTTAAACCTTTCTGGGTGAACGACCACAAAAATGTTTCCCATCCTCCTATAGATCATCTGCAAGTTTATAATAATGAAAATAGTGGTGACGATGAGGATGTCTTTGATAAGCCTTTGATTAGCAAGATTGTTAATGATATAAATCTTCATTTTGAGGGTGACGACGACAGCGATAGTAAGAGTGAGGAAAAATATCGCAAAATTCCGCTTGGTTACAATTTAGCTAAATTGATTTCAAAGGAACGCGTTACTGCAAACAGACTCTACTACAGTGCCAACAACATCAACAACGTCAACAACAACAACAACGACGTCAACAAATTATACTTCAGCAGCAACGTACATCATAACGCAAACGCCAGCAACAAATGCAGCAACACCAACAACAGTTAACATGCTCAAAGAAAAAAGAAAACAAAATTACTAACAACAACAACGCAACTGAACAACGAATGGAACAAAATATATTTAAAATAATGTAGACTCGAAAATATAGAAAAAATTTGAACAAACTGAAGAGAATAGAAATAAAAATAAATTTAAAAAAATTAGGTCCTGATCTGAAAAATAGCCTAGTGCAGTTCGGCAGTACACGGACTTACATTTAGTGATGTGACCTTCTAATTGTATTTCCCCGCTCAGTTGGACACGAGTTAAGTAGATGTCTACATGGAGATGGTCAAATATTCAACTGTGGTTTTCACGTCGGTCGGTGCTTGCAGTTTGAAGACTTCAGTAGCACTTCATAAATGAATCGTCAAACAATTTTTTTTATTAAAAACTGTGGCAAAACGATTTCAATTTTTTCGATGATGAGTTACGTCTGGATGGCTAGCGGTGGTAGTTCATGTAGTAAAGTGCCTTCTGCCTTGCCACGGGCTGTGGTGCAATGAAGAGGTTCGATTGCAATCAGTCTTTGGAACTACATTGAGCCAGTAGTCATCAATTAGTGCATTTTCATTTCGTATGTGTTTCCTTCAGTGTTCAATGATGTCATGTCATCATATACTTTTTTTTTTTTTTTTTTTTTTATTCATAATTTAACGGCATTGCAGCTCCCATAATGGTGCTATGTTTTGCCATATTTAAGTCATGATTGAATATATATACATACTTAAATACATATATTATATATATATATATTTTTTAAACTTTTATTTATCTATTTTATTTGTTTATTACTATTTCAATACATTCAATTTGCATCAATTTATTTTGCTTATTTTGAATTCTTAGTTATACATCCAAAGAGCCATCTATTACAGGGCAGGGAAATCTAAACAAACCACATTGAAGCACTAAGACGGAAAAAAAAAAAAATTTTAATACTGATTTACTATTCAAGCAATTTATATTGATATTTATAGCAAGACCGGCGTATCGTATCGTGATGAGTTACGTCTGGATGGCTAGCGGTGGTAGTTCATGTAGTAAAGTGCCTTCTGCCTTGCCACGGGCTGTGGTGCAATGAAGAGGTTCGATTGCAATCAGTCTTTGGAACTACATTGAGCCAGTAGTCATCAATTAGTGCATTTTCATTTCGTATGTGTTTCCTTCAGTGTTCAATGATGTCATGTCATCATATACATCAATCCTATCATGTAGTTGAGTTGCTCTTGGTTCTTAACAACTATTTCTAACATTTCTGTGATGCTATTTTTTCTATATTTATATATTAAAAAAAAACTTGATGATATTTTTAACATTCCCATCAATTAGATCTCGAGATATTTTAAAAATCTAAATAACAAACTTCTCGAATTTCAAAAAGATTGAAATTAACTTAGAGCAAACACTTCGTCATATAAGTATGTAAACATCTACTATTTGCATTTTTAACTATCAGTGTAATCTGATGAGCAAACGACAGAACGAACACACGAACAAACAAACCAACAAACAAACAAACCAACAAACAAACAAACCAACAAACAAACAAACAAACAAACCAACAAACAAACAATGACTGTCAATATGATATAACAATTCCGTAAAATGTTTGAAGTCATCCTTTGTTTTGTAGCTTTGCAATCAATATGTTGATATTTTGAGATTTTTTTTTAAAATCTCTGACGCAGATCTTTAAATATTTGTTATTTTTATCGTTTTTATTCTTTATCGTTAGTTGTTTTTTTAGCGCGCAGCGTTTTTGATATTCAAGATAAATTCAAACCTCTTTTTCAAATTATTCAAATTTTTCAAGTATTATCATTAAAATTATTTTATGAAAATATTCAAATATGATTTTCATTGTTCAGATTAAAAAATTTGATCTGTTGAAAATTTTAAAACGTTTTTATTGTTTCTGTTTTAAAACTGCCATTCACAATTTGTCGTTTAATCGGGAAATATTTTTTTATCAACACATTTGCTGAATGTTTGACACCTAATATCTCCACACAAATCTAATTTGTTTTTTATTGATCGAATTCATGTTTTAATATTTTTCATCTTTTCAAGTTTTTCAGAATTTTCAATATTCCCAACGAAAGCATTTCAACTAGAAACACTCCAGCATAACTGTTCGACTCCCCATTCATGCCATACACACCATATCATGTTTCGTTTTCATGTTATACATCAAGTGCTTAACTTTTTTATTGTTGTTGTTTTTATTTGAAGAAAGTAGTTTATCCTCAAATGATCCACGTTGCAAGTATTCCACGCATGTTTACAGATCATCACCCGGTTAACAACCTCTCGTATAGACTTACAAACTTACTCTGATCTATTTACGATTTCGGGTTTTATAAGAATGAACATGGTTCATCTCTAAGTACTCAACTGAACTAACTAACACACGCTCACACACACAACACCCCTTCGTGTCTAATCAACTTCTTGTTTTACTACAAAACATAGCATATTCGTTATTCTATTAATAATTATATTATCGACAACTAATAACTATCCAGTGCATATAAACGCAATAACACACACACACGCGCGCGCGCACACACAATAACACACAAACACGCATAGACCCCCCCCCCACACACACACAGACACACACAAACAGATACACACACACAGACACACACACAAACAGGTACACACACGCACGCACAAGTATTCGTTCACGTACACATTGCATCTCATTTGGTAGCATGCTACTTGCTACATGTCACATATATTAAAACGACAAATAAATTACTTCGTTTTTGGTTTTGTTTTACTTTTTTTTTTTTAAATAATAATAATTTGCATATAAAAGATGAAAAAAATTATTATTTCATTAATAACAATAACATAGAAGTACATTAAATTATTTTATCGTTCTGGCATCAAAACGAACAACGCAACAAATTACTCAAGTCTACAAGTAGCCTACCTGGCAATAAAATTAAACTGTAAAAGTCATAACAAGAAAGAACAACAACAACAACAATAATAATAATTATAATAGTGATAAGTATAATAATAATAATAATTATTATTATTATTATTACCATTGGCGTAATCGTTATAACAAGCGAGTATGGCGGACGAATGAGAAAGTGACAGTGTAATGAGTCAAAATTATGGCAAAATAATAAAATATAACAAGTTGTTATGAGTCAAAATTATGACAAAATAATTAAGGGTAATATATACTGCTGAGTGAAAAATTAGAAGCGATAATAAAAATTGCCATTAATCTAAAGAGAATTATGACTGCGACAATGATGATCACAGAATTGTTCAGGAGGCTCACCGCATTTTCAACGTTGTTTAATTATCTATCTAAATTTGAGTATAATTAAATAAAAAATTAAACAACGCTGAAAATGTTGTGACTTTCCTAAACAATTGTATATCTGATAGTCTGAATCATATATTGAATAATATGGATAAAATAACTGTTCGAAAAATTGAAAAACTTAGTTACAAACTCAACAATGCGGAAAATGCGGTGATATTTCTTAATATATGCATGTAAGAAAGTTTGAACCCAAATGTAAATATATATATGTGTATATTTATATATATATATATATATATATATATATATATGTATATATACGAGTGTGTGTGTATGAGGTGTGTGTATGTGGTGTGTGTATAAAGAATGAAGGAAGTTGATACTC